GTGAGGTTCTGTAGGTCAGTGTGAGGTTCTGTAGGTCAGTGTGAGGTTCTGTAGGGTTATACCAACAGTTTTGCTGCACATCCTGACAATCCAACTTGCCTCTGGATGCCAGGAAGTGCAACAGCTAGCTGCTGCTGCCATTTGTTATTTGCTTGTAATTAATCACAGTATTATGTGCACATCCATCCATCCATCCATCCATCCATCCATCCATCCATCCATCCATCCATCCATCCATCCATCCATCCCTCCATCCATCCATCCATCCATCCATCCATCCATCCATCCATCCATCCATCCATCCATCCATCCATCCATCCATCCATCTTTTACCCACTTCTTGGTTTTCTGGTCACGGGTGTCACTGGTTCCCATATCATCAGCCACTGTGTGAGGGGCGGGGGACACCCGACAGGTCTCCAGTCCATCACAGGGACACATGGAGACAAACGAGACAAACAACCATTCACTCTCTCACCTCAGAACAGTTTAGAGTTACCATCAGTCTAACATGCATGTTTTTAGTCTGTGGGAGGAAACTGGAGTACCTGGAGAAAACCCACGCAGCACGAGAAGAACATGCAAACTCCACCCAGAAGGCCCCGGGCTGGGATTTTAACCAACGACCTTGTTGCTGTGAGGCAACAGGTCTACCAACTGTGCCACCGTGCTGACTGCACATAACCATGAAATGTAAAACTGATGGACTTTAAAACACATTTAACATGATTTATGAACATTTTGAGACTAGTTTTGATTTAAAATGTCAATAATTTACTTTGTCTTATTTGCCTTTAGACATCGTCGTGTCAGAAAGAAACTAATTCTCCACTTTGAGTCTGTTCAAGAATCTTTCTACAAAAGTTAAACCATTATTTGTTAATATTCCTACAGAAACTCTCTTTAATATGACAGAAGTTGTTCTTCTGCATGAAGCGGTTGCACTCTCAGGAAAGAGAAGCGTGGTAGAAGTGGCTCACGAGTTCTCATTTCTTTTTTAAACAGAATATTCTACGTTTGCACAAAAGATCACGGGATCATAAAGTTCAGCCAATAATTGATTTCCTTTAGAAAGGTGCATAACCTACTTAACGCATCAGGAACATTTACTTAAAACAATAGAGCAGCTTGTTAAGTGCGTCATTCTGTTTTTGCCTTGTGATTTTTGATGGACAGACATTTTATCACATGATCATTGTGTATTTATTTATTTTTTGAAGTGGAGCTTTTTTCTGCAGCTTTCTTTTGATGGCTGCAAAAGTGACACAGTTTGAACACAATTTTTAAATGTAATAATTTCCTTATAATTACTTAGAAATACATTTGGATAATTTTACTTTGGCTTTTGAATCTATGAACATCTTTCTGAACTTTGGGCAGCCACCGTAACTGCAACTCATGCAGGCAGATGATTAGAAATAAAACTGCACTTGTTCTGTAGCTGCTTTTAGTTTATAAATCAAATGAGGAAACTTTGCAAGTGAAGGAGACATTTTTTATGCTCTGGGTTTACCTGTGAAGCCTGTGTAGGTAAAAGTGGCATGGTATGGGCCAGATCTGGTTGGCAGGCTGTAGACTGATGAAGTCCTCTGGATGGAGGCTGAAACGTTTCTCACTTAAAGGAACTGGTACGGATGACACGATTTAATCTTTTGGTTGTCCTCTACCTGGATGATGGAGCGTACAAACCTTTTTCATGACATGAACAGTTTGGCATCGTGCACAGTGGAGTGAAATGAAGTGCACATATAAGCTCACTGTGAACTTTGACCCCCCCCCAGGCTGCTGATGAGAGGCTGTGAACTGTCGGCGTACATGTACGTGTGGGACAACTTCCGCCTGCTGGAGCTGCCCTGGGACTCTGCCTGGACCTGGTGGTTTACCTTCTTAGGAGTGGACTTCTGCTACTACTGGGTCCACCGCTTCGCTCACGGTACCAGCATCACACCAGCATCCACAGCTGATGGCAGTTCATCACATCTGAGTGTAGAGGAAGTGTGGTTCACTGGGAGCTGTGGTCAGCTTGACTTCATGGGGAATTTGAAGGGTTTGAATAATCAGCAGTGTCCAAGTAGTTTTTTATTTCAAAGTGTTTGAGCTTCCACCAAATATTCTCTTCAGCTTCAAATGCATCTTCTCTGGCACTCAAGTAACTTTGACTCCAAGCGTCAAAGGTTTCTCTGGGGGGGTTCCAGTGTTTAGTTCGTGCTCTGTGTTTGGTTTTACCACTATAAGTCTGCTACCTTCCACCATTTAACCAGTATCTTCTGCTTCCTTGTTGCTTTCATGGAGCAAACACAAAGAATACGAAGGTAACTGATGATAAATGGCTTTAAAATGTTGATTTAGTTGCTTTCCCTGCAGGGAAGAGTCACGAACATGGCACTCGCATCATGTTTTCCTGGACACTGCAGAGGAAGCAATTACTTTTGAGTTACATCCAGCTGCTTGAGAGCTGTGCAGATGTGAGAGGCCTCGGTCTCCGGAGGCCTGTGGTCCTGACTCGGCGCTGCCACAGCAACAGGCTGCGGACCGTGATGTCTCCGAGTCTGCGACGTCCAGCCTTACGCGCTGAGGAAACACAGGAACAGACGGACCGGATATTCTGTTTTTAGAGTTCCACATGTAGGACGGACACGCTTTACGTGCGCTGATGACACGCGTGCCAGATGCACAGCTGCCACTCAGCACACCAGATGAGAAGTATGAATTTGTGGGCAACAGAGACGTTTATTTGTGTCAGCGTCACGTCAAGCAGCCACCGCTGTCCAGTCCTCGTAGGTTGGGAATAAAGTCGTGTGTTGATGTTCGAGGTCGGCGAAACCCAAGTGCTTAAAATGTGCCGCAGCCACCAGGAGCCGGCCCACGTGTCTGTGAGGTGCGGCACAACTGGTGGTCATCTTATCATTTATTTATACTTCTCTGTGCACATGGAGATGATTTGAACTGCCAGACGCCGTGACACGGGGCACGCTGGGCGTTCTTGTCGTCATGGAGATGCCTTGATGTGTCGACTACAGCCGAGCCGTCATTTTCTCAACTCCACTCATTACAGTAACAAAACAACTAAAATCACAAGTTTCCCTTCAGGGAGCTGATATAATAAGATTTCTAAGAGCTTTATTCATTACTTTATTTTGAAAATACCATTCAGCTCTTGAAATAGTAAGCAGTTAGAAAAATGGCATAAAACTATATTAAAACTAAATCAGATAGTGTGATCATCAATAACGTTTAGTCACTTTTGTAATGAGTCTGAAAACAGACCAGATAAAACATTTAAGTAATTGACTGAATGTTTTATGTAAAATAAAATAAGAACTTTATTGATCCCGCAGGAAATTGTTGATTATACCTACACAAGTGTATTTACCCAGCTTATTAGAATTCAAGGTCATATTTTATCAGGAGACAAAATCAGTGTTACCTACAGCAAAATGTAACGTTTATAACAAGACGTGTAAAATGTGCCAAATGATTGTTTCCTTTAAACATGTGATTGTCTACATTACTACATTTAGTCATTTTTAAATGTGCCATTAGCCTGTCTGTCTCCACTTATACTAATAACATATAAATTGAAAAAATGATGTCATAATATAGATAAAGAACAGAAGTTGTGCACTAATTATACATTTTGGAACGTTGAGGTCAAAGGAGTAGATCAAACTGGATAATGTAAACTTAATAAATCCTGTCATCTTCCTCTTTTGAATTAGATCACACATGTCTATCTTATTCAAGTAAAATGGAGCGTGTACCCTTTACTTCCTTCATGCTCTATAAATAAAAGTTGAACTTTATTATTATAAACCGTTATTGAACCAGGCAAATCCCAGAGATCACAGATCTTTTGCCAGGGAGGCCTGAATGCAGACCAACACGCATGTTTTTAGTCTTTGAATGAACGATGACCCTCATGTTTAAGACTCCAGGTAAACAGCTGTGTCCAGATGTTTACAGACGCTCCTCATATGCCTGAATGTCATTTTAATGTGAGGTTTTTATACATGGATTTAAACTGTTCATTTTCCAGGATAGAATGATTTTAAACTTTAGTTTTTTTTAATAAAACACGGGTGCACAAGTTAGTTTTGTTATGGATTGTCCCTAAGTTATAAACAAGTCAAATAAATACATACATAACCCAATCTATACATACTTTTATCTGTTTTTTAAAAACTTCTATTAACTGCTCGTTACATCTTCATGCTGAACTGAAACGTGCGTCTACCTGCAGGACAGGCCTTCTGGAGAAAAGCTTTATGGTCAGAGGAGCTAACTGAGTCATTTGGCCACATTGGCTGGAAGTATTTTGGAGCAGTTGAGGCTTCCAGACCTAAAACCGCTGCACTGACTGCCAAGCACGGTGGTGGCTGCAACATGTTGTGGGACTGGTGCGTTGCACGATGCAGTAATGCAGAAAGAAGAGAAAGGCTTCCTTAAATTAGTTTACCATGACTTCATATCTACAGCTTGAGACGTGTGCAGCAACAAGTGTGACGTCATCCTGCATGTCTTGTATCGACCCTGTGTGGTGTGGAAATAATCTGAACAAATTGAAAATAATCTGTTTTTGTGTTGATTTGTGATTCAGTCATAAGAACGTAATGTTTGTGTAGTTCATCTGTACGTTGTCTGCATACAGGACAGTTTTATGTGCTAGGACTTGGTCCCTTCTTGAAGTGAAGAAACGGTTTGCCTAATGCCTAAAAACTTAGACTTGTCCCTTTGCCAGCCTGTCGGCGTTGGTGCCGTGCAACGCTGTGGGGTCAGATATTCATACAGCGCTGAGCAGCCGCAGTGTTTGCTCAGGATATAGAAGCGTTTCCACTCGTTAGCAGAATGAAACTGCTGTCCTCGACCGCAGGACTGGGCCGACACGATCCTCGTTCCTCTCTTTGGTCAGCCAGAGTTGACTCAGTCAACCAAACTCTGACCTCCAGCTTCTCTCAGAGGAAGCTTCAACCGAAATGTTTCAAAAAGGGAAACGCGTTTGGCAATCCTCGTGCGCTTCCGACTGCTATTCAGCGCTAACGGTCGGATGACAGCCGTGCTTCCTGCTTGATCACGTTTGCATTTTGGAACGTCTCGTCGTGTACGGCAGCAGAAACGTTGCGTGGTCATCCTCATTCTGTCGAGGCGAGCTGTAAATCTAAAACTTGTGCATAAAAAAAGAACTACAATTCAAAAGCTCAGAGGAAAAAAAGGGAAGTTCCATTCTGGCTTTGGAAATATGAGCTTATGTAAAACATCATTTTTAGTTTGAGCAGTTTTATGGGTAATTTCATAGTTTCCTTCCCATGACCTCAACATTAAAGGACAGCTCAAAGATAATTAAGTGGAAAGAACTTGGCAGTCGTGTGCTGATGCCATCTATGCTGTGGAGACATTGCTGCTGGAGGTTTCTCCTGCCAGACACAGATCTTTGAGATAGCAGCAGATTGAAAAAGAAAACCCAACCAAGCCAATCAGCGGGCCTCGTTTTAATTAGAGCCCTAATCAAATTCAGAACTCTTCATTCTTAGACGTAAAAGCAAAAGTCTGTGACAGGATCTTTTGCTTTGCATCTGGCTGGAGTCGGCGCAGACAAACTGCAGTTGTGGTTAAAGTTGGAGCAAACGTGGACCTTCAAACAATCCGTGACCTTTGTGCACACACCGGCCTAAAAAAGTCTTTTCATTCTGTCCCAGTGCAAATATTTGTGTGAACTTTTATCGTTGGTGTAAATCCACAGCTAGCCTGGATCCTTTTCATAATAAACGGAGTTATTGCGTTATTCAAGTTGCATTTTAATGTTGAGAGCAGGAAGAGTGGAGAGTTTTTTAAAAGTGTAATTTTTCAGCCGTCTAAAATAACACGAGTCCGTTAAACCTGGACCGCAGACTTTAAGCGCTGGCCGCCGTCAGAGCCTCCTCTTATAAACACATTAGCTCAGTGATTGACACAAATATTAAACAAATTCAATTTACTTCACATTTTTCTGTCCCTGTTCACTTCCACCACAGGCCACCTCCGTCAGCAGACGCACTGTATTTTCAAAAGTTTTCTATTCTGAACGGTCCCAGAACCAGATGGTTCTGGGTGAGCAGGAAGCCGACCAGTTTGGGATGCGGCTGTGTTGTTGACAGGCCTGTTGATTCTGTTGATTCTAACCTCGTATCGTAAGCACCACTAATGGCAGCCCTGCGTTTGAGCAGCATCTATATCGAGACGAGCCGGCCAGGTTGAAGCCATTAATCAGCCAGTCAGCTGTCCGTCCGTTGATTACATGTGAGGTAATGGAAGCTGCGCTGCCGTCGTCTCGCCACACCAACTCTTACTCTTTCAGCCCAGAACCGTCAGAGCATCGTTTGAGAACGCTCTTGAAACGCTGTCATTATCTCCTCGAAACGACCTAAATTAAAAGAAAGGAAAAAGTTAAAATAAAAGGTTTTTGTACATTTCATTTGTTGCTACATCATAATATTCAAAATCACAAGGTACAAAGAGTAAAACAGTTCAGGTAATATTCGTAGGTAATAAGAATGTGTAACTGGCAAGTTACCAGTTTTAAGGGTTTTATGAGCAAAAAGGACGAGTTTAACTTTCAACAGTAAAGAAGTGGGGCCTCAGTAAAATGTTTGTTAGACAGTGAAAAGAATAAACATAAAAAAAAATCTAAATTTTATGTTGAATGCAGCTGGACTGTTAAGATGTGGTCGAACTTTAATCATAGACTGGATAAATAATTTGTAATATAAAAATGACCTGAGTCGACATGCAGCTGATTTAGATGTCCCAGTACTCACTTCCAGTGGGTAATATCTGTACGTATTATTAATTATTAATGTCTGTACGTATTATTAATTATTAATATCTGTACGTATTATTAATTATTAATGTCTGTACATATTATTAATTATTAATGTATGTACGTATTATTAATTATTA